GTGACCGTATTCTACGCCGTCGTAACAAGCCAAGTTGCTAGCTACGTCGCAGCGATTTAAAACTGAATAACATACTATAGAGTAATCGGTGTGAGGTAACGACACTGGGACGACACTGGCTCCTGCTTCTTTTAGAAGACAAGAGACCTTTTCCCAACATTCTGCAATTTCTTCACTTATGCCTTGTACTCCATACTCCTTTGGTATCCCAATCCTAAGATTACTAATGTCTATCGTTTCGGATAAGTTAATTGGAACATATTCTCTTTGTACAGTAGTAGGATCTGCTTGGTCGGGACCAGCTATGACATTTAAAATTAATACAGCATCGTCTACTGTTCTCACGAGAATACCAGGTACATCCATCGAATTTAGTAAAGGAATAAGACCATAACGTGATACCAAACCATAAGTTGGTTTCAAGCCGACTAGACCGCAATAGGATGCAGGATTGCGAGTAGAACCACCAGTATCAGAGCCCAAGGCTGCATAACAGGTACCTGTAGCTACTGCGACTGCCGAACCTCCACTACTGCCACCTAAGATGTATTTATTATATCCCAAAAAATTATCACTACTCAATAAACACAACAGTAACACAACATCAATGTTATAATTTCACATCAACGACGTAACTGTTACATACAGCATTGTATTGTAAGTATACATTATAAGTGCGAAATTATAATATTGATGTTATGTTACAATCAATTGTTATTTATTGAATAATGTACTCCTCAAAGTAAATTATGTAAATGAATAAAAAAGTGCACTAAACAATGACTAATAATTTGTGGCAATGTACCTGCTATGCGCCATGCATCTTTTTCATGGAGTTTTCTTGTAGTGACCTGCGAATCGTCAGACCCGTACGAATAAAATTGAGACAACACTTCTGAGCCCCATAAATTCTTTGTTGGTCCATAAAGCGAATCTACAGTGCCAGAGCCCATAGCGAACTCATCGAGATTAGTTTTGCCGATCAAGACAGCTCCCTGCGTCCTGAGCTTCTCGTAGACGGTGGCGTTGTAGCCCGGGGAAAAGTTTGCCAACATCCGAGAAGCACAGGTGGTAGGTTTACCCTTGACACAATAGTTGTCCTTAACGGCAATGGGAATGCCGTCGAGCTGTCCCAGTAACGAGTTTCTCTGTTGCCTCTCATCGGCGGCGCTTGCTTGCTCTCCAGCAACATCGTTCGTCACGTTGATATAAGGTTTTAAAGGCTCGACGATTGAAGTTAATTTAATGGAAGCCTTGCAGATCTCGGATGGTCGCACTGCACCACCATAGATCTCCCGACTGACTTCCTTGATCGGAATAGATAATAGCTTGTTCATCGTCCACTTTCTTTAGACGATAAACACATAACCTCAAATTAATGGCAATTGGCAAACAGAAATTGCTATCTCGCAAACAATTCTGCGAGTGCGAGACATTCTCGAATATTCCATATTCGAACGTATCTCTTAGAATCGAATCGAATATGGTTCAAATTCGGATAGTCGATAAATCGATTATTTATTATTCGATTTATACTCGAAACGTTTCAAACGTAAAGGTGCCTTTACATGGCAGCGTCAAGCGTCGAGCGTGAGAACATGCGCAGTGATATGTTTAATAATTTTACTGAAATTAAATTTAATGTACGAGATACACTATATACCACTGAATTAATTTCGCAACTTGACTTTAAAATATATAGCAATTGTCATTGAATCATTGATAAAATCATTGATAAAATTATTACTTCCATGAACTGCCCGAGAAAAAATGAAGAAGACTTCATTACATATATGTGGATCAAATTAGATCAAATAAGATCAAATTGTATCTGATGAGATTTAGTTTTTAGATATAATATTAGATCTTCAGAAATCTAGCTTGGCCTCACATGATCGATGTTATATCCATTAAGATCTAAATAGATAATCTGCGATATAAATAAAATACTATATTGAATATAAAGGAAGCATATTGTAAATCTACGAGAATATATTGATATGAATATTTAACTTTATACAATGAAACTAAATGTAATAAATATTAGATCTACAGAGATATATAATAATATCAAAGAAGATAAATTGGCGTACATATCTACAGAGATATAATAATATCAAAATAGATCTACAATCTTGGCCAAAGGTATAAGGCAGTAAGGCATAATTGCAATTTTGTCGCATTTTACGAAAAGTTAAGTATCTTGACGAAAAAAAATGTCAGAGGTTTTCAACTACGCATTTTAAAGCTTAAAAATATATTATATCTAATGAGATAAATGTTTATATATTAGGATATAAATAGATCAAAGTATATCTACATCGATCTACTTTGATCAGGTCAAAATGAAGATCTCTTAAGATCTCTTTTTAGATCTAATTAGATCTATATATAGTGAAATCTTCTTCATTTTTTCCCGGGTGACGAGAAAATCTGGGATTAATTCCGATCTTGCACAAAAATCTCCAACGGGACACCAAATTAGATTTTGCAAATGGATTTTACGGAAAAAGACGAGGAATAACTCTCCCCCCCCCATGATGAAAATTATTACGACTTTCCATCGGTACAAACCACTCATTCACTGGAATCTATCTGACTCGAGGAACAGCGATGAGGTCTTTGCATATAATAAATTAATCACTAAGAGATACTTGTAATTCTGTAATGTTAAAAATATAAATGTCAAAAAGCAAACGAGAAGTTAACATATTTAACCATTACGTCAGTCAAAGCTCCAATCTTTAATGACTTATTTAATAAATTTGTATACTAAATACAAAGAAAAATTGACGATTATTCTAAACATCAAATTTTTAATTAGAAGGCACTCAAAATTATTAATGACTTTTTGATATTCAAAATAAAATCCAAAAAATTAAAAAGAAATTTGAAAGATAAATATTTATCGAATTTATATATTAAATCAATAAATTTTTGTTATTATAAATTTTGTCAATTTCGTATAATTAACATCAATTACGCAACAATTTCATTTACTACAAGATATTATTATTAAGGTCGTAGTTCGTAATAGAATCTAGAGAAATAACATCACTGGCAACCGATATTGGGTAAAAATTAATTGGATATCGATTAATCGATCAGAGAAAATATCGAGTAAAAATATTCGCTTCAGCCAAAGAAAACATCGATGTATCGATTAATCGCTTAACATCGCTCATCCCTACTTTCAAGAAGACTAGAACTAAGGAGGATCAACTCGCGTGGTGGGGGTGAGTCAAAAAACGTCCGCGGCTATTCACACGATGTGCAGCGGCACTGCGCATTGTGTGAAAGTTCGATATAAGAGCGACAAAGTGACGATTATAGAACGATAGAGCGACAACTATATAGAGCGACAGAGAGGACTAATGAAGCGCAAGAGTGGGGGAAGTTATCCGTCGCCACTTTTTGCCTCACCCCCACTACCGCTATTGGCACGAGTTGATCCTCCTTAGGTTCTAGTCTTCTTGCCTACTTTTTAATTCCACCATGGTGCTAGGTACATAGAAGTGAGCTACCATTTGGCAACGCGTGGTGGGGGAAGAATGGGGGTAGTTTCCGATAGCTGTAGCTACAGCTATCGGAAACTAGAGTCCTAGATATCAGAGAAGCGCAACCGGTGTTCCGCATTCTGATTCGCTGTTACAGTCACGTGGCTTGGCAGCCATTTATAATACTAGTGACATACTTCTATTTCATTTTATCCTACAATTCTATCTCACATTATCTTACACGTTCTATCCTAGGCAAATGAAAGTTTTATGTTACCATTTTTTATGCGTAAGTTTAAACATTTTAATTGCATATAATGATATATATGTGCTTTGGCACATAAGATTATTGTTTAATCTTTTAAAATATTATTTACATAGGCTGCTTTCCTTTTAGGAGACACAAATCGACACAGTATAACACTCAAACACAGTTTGTCACACATACTCTGACTCTCCTCTCGAGCAGAGGCGAAGTGTGTCGAGTTTGGTAAAAAATTGTAAATGGAAAAAATTAAAATATTTAATAAGTTTCCTACTTCTTTCCACTTCAGCAAGAATATCTTCCATTTGAACTGAGACTGGACTGCAACTTTTGCTGATTCCATTTATTTCTCCATCAATATTACATATGTTTTTGTAATTATAACTCTCTTTACTGTTGCTGCAGAATTGTTCTTGA